TCCTTTCCTTTCCTTTCCTTCCCTTTCCCTTTCCCTTTCCCTTTCCCTTTCCCTTTCCCTTTCCTCTTCTTCCTCTTCTTCCTCTTCTTCCTTTTCTTTCCCTTTCCCTTTCCATTTCCCTTTTCTTCCCTTTCTCTCCCTTTCCCTTGGCAACCCATTTGCACTTATGACCGGTTGCCAAGCACCCTGCAATCATGTGATCGCCATTTGCAATGTTCTCTGCTGGCTTCCCCAGAAAGCCAATGGGGAAGCCTGCAGAAAAGGTTGCAAGTTGCTGGGGTAAGTCTCCCCCACCCACGCACCCTCCCCCAGACCCTCTGTGCTCGCACTGCACCAGCCACTCACACCCCCCGTGCAACCTCCCTGACTCTTGTTGTGCCTCCCTTGCACCCTCATTCACCCTCCCCAACCCACGCCACAGCCCCGTGCATCCTCCCTGACCCATACCACAACCTCTTGCACCCTTGTGCACCCTCCCCAACTCTCGCACACCTCCTCACACCCTCCCCAACCCACGTGGCACCTCTCACACACCCTCCTTGACCCACGCGATGACTCCCGCACCCCTCCCCAACCCACACAGTAACTCTTGCGCACCCTCCCTGACCCTTGCAGCAATTCTCATGCCCCCCACACACACTCCCTGACTCAGACGGTGCCTCTCGCACAACCCCACGAGGGTCAGGGATTTACAACTTCCTGCTGGCTTCCCCACTGACTTGGGTAGTGAGAAGCTGGCAGGAAGTTGCCTTGCCTAACAACCATGGGATCCAGTTAACTACAGCACCAGTACTGCAAGGAACACTTTTATAGCTCTTGCTTCTAAACAACGTCTGCAATTTTCCAAATATTAAACCGAAGAAAGTAACACTCAGGGAAGTATTATGTAACATAATCGTTTAGTGAAGACTTTCTCCCCAGGCCCCGCCAGGTGGTGCTCTTAAGCGGACGGGACCAGTGGCACGCCTCTCCTGCCCGATCCGACGGGGCGGGTGGACGTGACTTGGGAGAGGCAGCCCCGCAAGCCAAGGCCACGGAGGGCTCCATGGGCAACAAACGGCCCCTTGAATTGAACCCAGAAGCAAACTGGCAACTGGTGCAGCTCACGGGGCAGAGGTAAAACGCGCACAGATGGAGAAGCGCCCACAGCTGCCTGCGCAGGTGCATTTTGCGCCAACTGCAGCTCCCAGATGCTCTGTGCCAGGTGAGCACAGCAGCTTGCTTTTCAGCCCCCGGATGCCTTTTCCAACACACGCGGCTGCGCTTCCTAGCGATTCTGCTCTGGTGGTTTGTTTATTTGTGAAAACGTGGTAACCCAATCAATGGACTCTGGGTGGCCAGAAATAAAAGCATAAAAAAAACCAATTCACAATGAAAACACAACACCCTCCAACTAGTGTAATGTAGCAAAAAATGGTCCCCCAGCCACCATCAACTCAGATCAAATGCTTGTTTAAAAAGGGAGTCTTTAAGGCTTTCTGGAATACCAAGACTGAAGGGGCCAGTCTTCTCTCTGCGGCCAGCACGATCGATCAATCGATCGATCGATCAAATGCAATCAGGACTCTCTCAGTGGCTCACAAAATAAGAACATACAATCAAATATGGAACATAAATATGGAACAACGCGCCTCCCCCAACACTGCCTTTTTGAAGCATTACTTCCCAACTTGCACGGAGCCATAGAAGAAGACTTAGATTCAAATCCTCGATCAGTCCGGCAAAGCTACTGAAGCGGAAGGCTCAGGGGGCCACGCGCTTGCCGGAGAAGCAGGGTTTATGCTTCCGGACTGATCGAGGATTTGAACCTAGGTCTTCTTCTATGGCTTCATCCCCCCCTCACAAAATCCATAAAAACAGATGAAACCTAAAACCAACGGATGGCCGATCCTGACTCTTGCTGGGCTGAAAAGGGGGTTATGAAACTGAGGGAGAAGGAGAGAGCCTGGCACTAGCGGTCCGGGCCAGGCAAGGCCGGTTCTATGATTCGACCGGTGAACTATCGCGACCTTATGACGAAAGCGCCCTAAAACCACCCCTCCTAGGATATTATAATTGTATTATAATTGCCCCCCCTTGTATATTATGGGATAGGCAAGGCGCTATGTGCACGTGCCATTTGTGTCAAACTCCGAGCAATCTTATTCCTCCCCCCATTCGAATCTTGCACAAGAGGCCCCACGGGCCGGGCCCCTCGGGTGGCCCTCCTTCATGGCGGCAGGAACAGGCGGGTCAGGTTGGGTCGGGTGTCTCTCGTCCTGCGTGCTATTTGGAGACCCTCGCGCCAGATCCCCACACCTACCCAACACCGGTTTTCCGGCCAACAACACAGACAGCCGCACTAAAACAATCTAAAAATGACACAAATTCAGCCAAACAAAATCTCTCCCCTCCCGTCAACACCGACTGGAGCCAAGGATGGACGTCACAGCCCAGGAAGAAGCTGCTCCAGCCGAACCACTGGAACGCCACCCTCTGGAGACACCCAGCCAGGGATCACCTCGGAGACAGGCCCCACCCGAACAGCTGGAGCAGTCAGGCGAGGAGGCCGGGTCCCCAAGCCCGGTGAGCGGGGCAGAGCGCAGCTCGGTGCGGCTCCTGGCCGAGCGAGCAAGGGAGGAAGCAGAGTCGTCGAGGGGAGCCGGCTGCAGCCTGCTTTGAGGCAGTCCGGACTCCTGCCCTGATCTGGCTGCCGTTCTGCGTCTTCTGGTCATGTAAAGACCCTGAAATTCTGGCCTCCGGACTGGCCAATGAACCTGGTTCAGCTCTCTGAACCTCGGACCAGATTTTGACTTCTCTTCTGTGTGTTCCTGTGGAAAATGAAAGTAAACAGGCAGGTTCTATTTCCAAGCGACTCTGTTTTGATTTACCTTCCTTTCCTCATCCGCCATTTATCTGCTCAGCCTTGAGTAAGTTACTGTCATCACCTAGTAACTCCGTGTGTGCGCGCGTGTGAGTCTGAAACCTGAAACGGGTGGCTCTGGCACAGGTCATGACCGAGGCCATCTCCGCCCTATCCTGCACCTTGCGCTCCTTGTCCCTTGGGGTTTCCTGGCACCGTGCTGGAGTAGGGGCCGTTCAGTATTCTGAATGATTTTGAAATTAATTATAAGAATCCTTCCTATAAGAAAATGCTGTTGTTTTGAATACTTAAAAAATATATATGATAAAATGGGATTTTGAAGGTTGGATACTAGAGGGAACCAGAAGGAATTAAAGATTATTATTATTATTATTATTATTATTATTATTATTATTATTAACTTTATTACAGTCAATTAGACCAGTACAATATTAAAAGAAAGGGAAGGACATGAAATATGTCCAATCCAAATAAGGGATTATATATCCAAAAGTATGCTAGTCAAGGTACTCGTCGGTTATAATTAAAAATCACTTACAGTAACTTATGCACCATGGCTTCAATTGTCCTAAAATTACACATTATAAACCATTAAAATTAAGAGTTAATACCGGTTTTTGAGTACATAAATATAGAAACACAGAATGCTAAAGGGAAGGACATGAAATATGTCCAATCCAAATAAGGGATAAAGGGAAGGACATGAAATATGTCCAATCCAAATAAGGGATAAAGGGAAGGACATGAAATATGTCCAATCCAAATAAGGGATTATATATCCAAAAGTATGCTAGTCAAGGTACTCGTCGGTTATAATTAAAAATCACTTACAGTAACTTATGCACCATGGCTTCAATTGTCCTAAAATTACACATTATAAACCATTAAAATTAAGAGT